TTCCTCCCCCCGGGGCCAGCTGTCAGCAGCCGGCTGGGCTGACTCCTGCTCGCCGGTAGCGCCGGTGGTGGCTTTGCCCGCGTCCCGGGGGTGCGGAGGCAAAAGCGGGGGGCTCTGCGGGGCTGACAGGGGACGGGGACCCGGGACGCGCAGGTGAGTACGCTGGAGCCCGCCGTGTACGCTCGGTCGGTGAGTTGTGGAGCTCCTGGCTGCTTTGGCTGAGGCTGTTTTCCATCAGGATACCGAGCTGCTGGGGAAAAGAAGTCCGATCCTTAATAATAACGATACAGCCACGTTCTTCTGTTTTAGGAGCATCAGCTTTAACTCCCACCTGTGTATTTCTCTCAATTCTTCCTCCTGTATTTCTCTCAATTCTTCCTCCTTCTCTGTTTGACAGGTGATACTCTAATAGTTGAAGAGGATACGTCCAAACCCAAGACTGACTCGCCTGTAGTTGCAAAAAGAACGATGTCAAACTCTGTTAGGGAAGCCGTGCCTGTGCTTGCGAGGAGGGTTGTTCCGGCAGATAACTCCTGCCTCTTCACCAGTGTGTACTATGTGGTGGAGGGAGGCGTTTACGACCCGGGTTGCGCTCCAGAGATGCGCAGCCTTATAGCCCAGATAGTAGCAAGTGATCCTGAATCTTACTGTGAGGCAGTTCTAGGGAAAACTAACAGGGAGTATTGTGACTGGATCAGAAGAGAAGAGACTTGGGGAGGAGCCATCGAAGTGTCCATTTTATCCAAATTTTACCAGTGCGAAATCTGCGTGGTGGACACGCAGACCGTCAGAATTGACCGTTTTGGGGAAGATGCCGGTTACACTAAGCGGGTCCTTTTAATTTATGATGGGATTCATTACGATCCACTTGAGCGTAAAATCCCCGACTCGGACATTCCTCCCCAGACCATTTTCTCCACAGCTGATGATATTGTTCTTGCGCAAGCATTGGAGCTGGCAGACGAAGCCAGGCGGAAGAGGCAGTTTACTGATGTGAATCGCTTTACGCTGAGGTGCATGGTGTGCCAGAAGGGACTAACTGGACAACTGGAAGCCAGAGAACACGCCAAGGAGACCGGACACACCAACTTTGGAGAAGTGTGACGTCTACATGAGGATGGTTACATCGACTACCTCACTGATCCAGAATAAAATTCTGGATTTCCCGATAAGCTGTATGTAATCGTAAAATTCCGTTCACAAAGCTTGAAAAGCATATTAACTTAATGATGGCCAAGACGCACAGGTTTGTTATGGTTAGTGACTTTTCCAAGGGATTTGAAATAGGTATCTTCTCGCATGCTAATTTATAGTACTTTGGCAGGTGGTATACACTGGCAGCTAAAACTTGATTCCTGAAATAATCTTCTCTTTGCGTATGCGATCTGAGCGGACATACAAAATCAGGCTTGTTCAACACTAGTGTAAAATCTAGCCTCTAAGTTGCTGAATTAATCTCTGGATTATGTTTTCAGGGTCATTAAATTAATCTAAGGATTTGGGAAACACAGGTATCAGCATTATTTATACTAAGAATTAGACTGCACATACAAGCAGTTCTTGCAGGGGAAACTGCTCATTTGGCGCACAGTTTTTAATGGAAAGAG